CATGAGTGATGATAAATTGAAATGGAATTTAAACAAAATGATAGCTTGTTTTCCAAGAAGTAGTGCATCAATCGGTAGTCATCAAACTGGACTTCTATGTAATTTGAAAAGTTTGGTTAATAGAAAATCAGATTGTAATCAGCAATCAGATTGTTAGGCTTTTTTTTAATTCCTTGTAAAAAAAAAAAAACCCTCTTGTCAAATTTAAACATTTGCTGTGACCCCTCATAGATTTCTTGACTAAAATATGAAATGTTGGCTATTTTTAAGAAATAAATAGCTTAGATATGGATTTATTAGTTAAAACTTTGGACAGCTAACAAAGCATAAAAGCAGACACATCGCTGAAAACAATAGAACAGGCAATAAAAGACAACAGATAAATTAGTTCTGTTAGTACAGGGCAAGCAACAAACCAGGTACTATTTACATCTTGGCCCTAAACTCAGAGAGGTTTTTAAGGCCTCCTGAAAGGCCAACAGAGTTGACTCTATCGAGACTTCAGTGGCAAAGCCCTTCCACAAAGCAGGCACTACGACAGAGAAAGCATCCCTCCCAGATTCCATAAGGCGACACCTATGGAAAAGACCTGAAGCATACCTATCCTGCCAGATCAGATAGGATGGGCAGAAATGACTGGAGAGAAAAAAAAAACATTAAAGGTTGACTCAGCCTTCCATCATTCTGAGGTCAGTAAAATGAGGACCCAAATTGTTGGAAGCGGCAATATGCTGACATTGTAAACTGCCCAGAGAGTGCTGTAAAGCACTACGGAATGGTATATAGGTAGTCCGTGACCACGGTTGAGCCCAAAATTTCTCCTGCTAAGCGAGACATTTTATTAAGTGTGGTTTGCCCCATTTTATGACTTTCCTTCACAGTTGTTAAGTTCACTGCAGTTGTTAAGTTAGTAACATGGTTGTTAAGTTAATTTGGCTTCCCCATTGACTTTGCTTGTCAGAAGGTCATAAAAGGTGATCAGATGGCCCCGGGACACTGCAAGCATTATAATTACAAGTCGTTTGCCACACACCTGAATTTTGATCATGTGACTATGGGGATGATGCAAGGGTCATGTGTGAAAAATGGTCATAAGTCATTTTTTCCAGTGCCGTAACTTTGAACAGTCACTAAATCAATTGTTGCAAATCAAGGATTACCTGCATAAGTCATAAGTGCTGTTGCTATTGCTATTTTTCTTTGCATAATCCCTATTCCTCCTTAAATCCATAAGGAAAAGTATGTCTGGGGCAACTCAAGAATGAGCCCTCTCAAATGTCATATTGAGAAAGACACTCCCTGTAAAATACCAGATGTCTTGTGGTACTTTTTTGGCTCAGGGATAATAATCCTTGATAGCATGGATCATGGAAATAAGGAGGAATTTCCTATTAATCAGTGGAGCTTTTCAAGAAAAGATAGGACAACATTTGTCAGAGATGGTGTGAGGACTCCTGCATTGAGCAGGAGTTTGGACTAGAACAGTGATGGCTAACCTTTTTGGCACCAAGTGCCGAAAGCGCACGCGCCCACACACCCATAATGCAATGCATGCGGAAAACCCCCGCATGTGCCCTGCACATGCGCACAAGACCCCTGTGTACACCCCCCCGTACATGACCCCACCCCACGCATGTGCGCCCTGTTGCTCATGCACCCCACAAATGCACATGCGTCTCCTACATGCGCCCCGCCCCCAACACATGCTAGGCAGAGACCCAAAAACCAGCTGGCTGGTGGCGGCAGAGCTGAGCTGGGGCGACGGCTTGCATGCCTGCAGAGAGGCTCTGTGTGCCACCTGTGGCACACATGCCATAGGTTCATCATCACAGGACTAGAAGATCACCAAAGTCCCTCCCAAATTTATGATTTCATGATTATTGCCAAAATGTCACAATATCTTTTAAAGGAAATCTAAGTATGAATTTACACTATAAGTTTCTTTTTTAAGAGATTCAGAATGTGAAGGCTCTGTTGGTTCAGGGGAATTTGATATTAAAAATGCAGCTTTAAATAGTTCTTTATGTTATACCTAATTCATGAACTTGCTATTTATTTCAAGTGTAATCAAGTTCATAATAGTTTTTTTAGTTCCCACAGTCTTGGTGGAAATTGCTCTACATATAAAATTTAGCACCTGGCCAATTAAATGTGCCATCTAAAACAAAGGTGGCCTGTTCTGGAAGGGTTTTAAAAACAAATGAGATTACTTGATAAATACTTCCGTTATATAATTGCTAAATAATTAATGTTTCCGGCTATATTAAAGAGCAATTAAGATACAGGGAAAGTCATCAAATTGCCAGAGGTGTGTAATATTTGTAATGTACATTATACATAGCAAAGCAGAATACTGTGACTTTAAAAGCTGATTAATCAAACTATTAGTATTAAAATGATTAATACTAATGACATATTTATTGATCTGGTTAATGCCTAATGTCAGTGTCCCGACTGATGATCCCAACCAAAGCAAGCAGACTCAAGACCTACCAATGTCTCAGTGTAAAACTTTATTGAATATCGGAACATCATTTCGGCACCATTGAAGGCAAAAACCAGCTCTACCTACTTCCCATGCAAACCCACATAATTCAATATGTAAATCCCCCCCCCCATTAGTGCAGGTCACATTGTTCAATTAAGTGGTATTGTATTGTTATGAGAAAATGTCTCTGGGTTTGGCGGACACCCGCAGATGCATCCTTGAGTCTCAGGCCTCTCCTCCTTGAAGTCTGGAGTCTGCATATTTTCTCACCCGACTCTTCCCCTGGTTGTTGGCAAGCTGAGAAGCGAAAATGGTTGCAACAGCATGAGTGCGCTTTGAGCTTGACACCTACATCTGTGATTTGTTGAACAAGTTAGTGTAGCATGATTAACATACGACACTGAGCTATGAATTGGGCAGGCAGCCTTTTTTCATTTGTTTATTTCATATTTGTAGGCAGCAATGATGCCACCAGAATGGCAAAACTGAAATTTCTGCTTGCTCTCCTTACCCTCCAGTGCTGTTTTTAGGATATTTTGGGATCTGAGGGAAAAATAGAGGTTTTCGTTTCATAGGATTTTTGAGACAGTGTGGCTACTGAAAATTCTAGGACCTGAAGACCATACATTTGGAGGATAGTAAATATAGGGAAAGCAGCCCCAAACAGATAGCGGATAGGACCATGAAGAAAGAGGAGACAGGAAGATAATTCTTAAAATAGCTCCTTAAGGCTACTACTTTCATCCCAGGATATTTTTTTCTCATCAGGAAAGGAGAGACCACCACTTTTTTTTCCCCCATTAAAAATATATTTTGGATTGTGCTTTAATTAGTTTTTGAAACACTCAAAGGATTTGGCAGCTTTGTTTTCCGTGCCCTAGCAAATAATATATTGCTCTTCCAGCAATCTGCACAACTGAATAAGGGGGGTGGGAGGAGCGGAATGTTTACAGCGCTGCATGCTTTCCGCAAGACAAACAATGTGTTCTAGTTTGAGGGAACTAGATCTAATGTTCTATTCAAAAGAACATTTCCTTGGTTTTTTTTTTTTTTAAAGAACGACTTTTACACTGAAAAAAACCCCCAAGCAAATAAATTCAGTAGCATTGAGAGGTTACCACAAAGAAGAAGGGTCAACCTATCCCCCAAAGCACCTGAAGGCAGGATAAGAGGCAATGGATAAAAACTGATCAAGGAGAGAAGCAACCTAGAACTAAGAAATTTCCTGACAGTGAGAACAATTAACCAATGGAATAAATTGCCTCCATAAGTTGTGGGTGCTCCAGCACTGGAAGTTTTTAAGAAGAGACTGGACAACCATTAGTCTGGAATGGTAGGGCCATGATGACGAACCTATGGCAGAGGTGGCACACAGAGCCCTCTCTGCTGGCATGCGCGCCGTCACCCCAGGTCAGATCTCTCTGGCATTTTTTTCGTGAGCTTCTGTTTCCCTGCAAATGACGAAACAGAAGCTCATGAAAGAAAAAAGATCTTACCTCTGGCCATGCTGCTGATGTTGGGATGCCCCGCCTCCCGCTGGCCAGCTGGTCTTCAGGTCTCTGCTGTGCATGGCTGTCTGAGCATGTGTAAGTTCGCACATGTCCACACGTACACCTTTCAGTTTGGGCATGCGTGCCCGTGGAGTTTGAGCACTCAGTGTCTAAAAGGTTCACCATCACTGGTATAGGGTCTCCTGCTTGAGCATGGGGTTGGATTAGAAGACCTCCAACATCCCTTCCAACTTTGTTATTCTGTTAATAAACTGTCCTCTGTAGCGGAGTTTTATTTTCAAGTAAATGAAAATGGCTATTTAGCTTACAGTCCAAACATTTTCAGCTTTAAACTTTTAACCCACCTAATCTGGAGGATACCTGAATTGGAGCAGATTTCAATAGAGGGGAGGGGAGTGCAGGGAAAATAAAGTGGACTAAGATATAATAAACAAATAAAATAACATCATTTTGTTTGCTTGTAGTATCTGGTATTCAGAAATTAACTGCCTTTATATATAGGTAGCTCTCAACTTACGACCACAATTGAGTGTAAAAATTCCATTGCTAAGCGAGACAGTTTCACAATTTTCCTTGCCACAATTGTTAAGTGAATTACTGCAGTTGTTAAGTGAATTACTGTAGTTGTTAAGTGAATCTGGCTTCCCCATTGACCTTGCTTTTCAGAAGGTCGCAAAAGGTTATCAAATGACCCTGGAACACTGTAACCATCATAAATACATGCCAGTTGCCAAAGATCCAGATTCTGATCACGTGACCTTGGAGATTCTACAAGGGTCATATGTGTAAAAAAATAATCACCCTGGAAGGAATGGGTGGCACACTCAATTCATATTTGCTAAATTCAGGAAGTTGATGTCTTTGGCTTGAAAAGCTGCTCAGGATCCAGTTCTTCAGAGGAGTCTTGAAATTGAGCAAACACTCTACCCAACCTGTGTATGAAATTAGCACCTGTTATATTAATAAAAACCATCTCTCTTTTTTTTTTTTCTTTTATGCAGCTTTACCAACAAGGCCGACTATGCCAGCTGGGTAGCGAATTCTGCGAACTAGAAGTTTTCGCAAAGGTGCTTCGAGCTTTAGATAAAAGGTACATTTTACAAACGTTGCTCTCCCCGTATTATATATCAAACAGCTTTTGCCAGTAAAAACTTCCTCAGCACAGTTCAAATGCTTCTTGGGTGTGTTCCGTTAGTGTAGAAGATGAACAGAATGAACCCGAGGGCAGGGTCAAATGGAGTCTGGAGTCCCTACACCTTCCAAAAAGATCTAACTCCAGCCCTTTCCCCTTGAGGTCCATTGGCTCTTACCTGGCGGCAATTTGCATTGACCATAATAAGCATTGACCATAATAGGTCAGATTCTTGTGTATAGGTTGCATGGAATGAACTTGCAGTGCTTTGGAACTCTATCCTGACTCCTTGTTTTTTGCGCCTGATGCTTAGGTTTTCCTCCTCAAAATTCCAGAATGCAATCATAGGGACTACTCATGCTGGGGAAGCTGCATGTATGTGCTTGCTTGCTTGCCTGCTATGCCTCCCATCTCTCCGAGGCAACTCTAGAGGGCTTCAACAAAAATACCATATAAAACATGAAAACGACAACTAGAGACCATATATTTAAAATTCTCTTAAAATAATTCAATTAAGCTTCTTGGGTTAACATTTTCCACTGGGTATATATACCATCTCTGGCTGTAATGCTGAGTGATGGGAGTCCTTCCTGTTTAGCAGATTTGGATTGCAGTTCCAGTTTTTGTGTATTGTGTTTGTGTTTCCCCCATTGCTGAGGACGTGGCACACGTTTCTTCCGTAATATAAAATGCGGGGGCTGCTGGAATGAGTTGGGTGGGTGTATTAAAATTTCACCTGCTGTTCTGACTTCCTCTCCAGCTGCAGAGAGGAAAAACTAATACCAGTGCGACGAGTGGGTGGGAATCTGTTTGAAAGGGATTAAAACAAATTGTTGGACTGTTCAATGCAGAGGTTTCCATAAGGCCCTTCTGCTGATCTCAGTATCTGTTGACTAAATACGAAGATGCAGTGTCGCTCTAAGCATGTTTTTCAAGAATATGTCTCTCTTGACAATCATCTTCCTGAATCTGCTATTTTTTCAAAGTTCCAGTTGACCTCCAAAATGTGCAAGAGGCCATAGCTGGCTAGAAATTACATATGGCAGGCAGAGTACAAGTACTCCTTGACTTATGACCATAATGGAGCCTGCCCATTAGGGTCATACATCGTGACGATTGTACAGTAGGTGACCACATGGCCAGATTCAATTTGAGGACCTTTTTTGCAACAATTACAAGTAGTCCTCGACTGGCAAAGTTACAATGGCACTGAAAAATGTGCCGTACGACTGTTTCATAATTACGACTGTTGCAGCATCCCCATGGTCACGTGATCAAAATTCAGATGCTTGGCAAGTGGTTCATAGTTATGACCTTTGCTGTTTCCTAGAGTCATGTGATCAACTTTTGCTGCCTTCTAACAAGCAACGTCAATGGGGAAGCCAGATTCACTTAACAGCAGGGTTCCTTAATTTAACAACTGCAGTGATTCACTTAACAACTGCGGCAAGAAAGATCGTAAAATGGGGCAAAACTCACTTAACAACTGTTTCACTGAACAACAGAAATTTTGGGCTCAATTGTGGCCATAATTTGAGGACTACCTATATTTAACCCATTACTGGTTATGGTGCAGTTTTGCCAAAAAAGTAAATGCCAGTGAAATTGTAAATTGTGGTCACGTGACTGCGGGATGCTGCAAACAGCCATAAATACAGGGCAGTTGTCGAGCATCTGAAATTTGATCATATGACCTCTGGTTGTCAGAACTTTGGAGCTGAGTTGTACGTACCTTTGGGGGGAGATCCATCCTAACTTTGAAAGATCGCTTAATGACCAGTTGCAAGTCAAGGACTACCTGTATTTTTAATAAGACATAAAAAAGACTGCCACCTTCTAGCATTGATAGAAGGCAGGAACAGGCTCTTATCTCCACTGGTACTTCTTTTTCTCTTCTAGGCATCTCCTTCATCACTGCTTTCAGGCGTTGATGGATCATGGAGTAAAAGTTGCTTCAGTCTTGGCCTACTCATTCAGCCGGAGGTGTTCCTACATCGCAGAATCAGATGCTGCTGTAAAAGAAAAAGCGATCCAGATTGGGTTTGTCTTAGGTAACTCTCTGCAGATAAAATATTAGCCATGTCACTTCGTTACAGGTACCTTTAAAAGAGCCATGGTGACGCAGTGGTTGGAATGCAGTATTGCAGGCTAACTCTGCCCACTGCTAAGTGTTCGATCCTGATTGGCTCCAGGTTAACTCAGCCTTCCATCTTTCCGAGGTTGGTAAAATGAGGACACAAATTGTTGGGGGCAGTATGCTGACTCTGTAAACACCTTCAAGAAGGCTGTAAATCACTATGAAGCGGTATATAAGTACTATTGCCATTGCTTTAAGGGTTATGTGAAAATTTAGCACTTTGTCATCTTAAAAACAAACCGTCTCCAGCAAACTGAACATGGAGAGTTTAGTTTGTCTCATTAGGTAGATGGATAGTTGGAGATGTTGTAGGGAGAAGACAAAAAGTTAGACAAAGATTAGACTGATTCCAGTTCAAATTCGTACTCAAGTTAGACTTGCTGCGTCATACCTGATTCAGCTGTCCCGCTGATCATACATCATTCAAGGAGTAACTATTTTCTATAGGAGCAAGGCTTTCACTTTTCCTTTTTGAAACAAAAATCTATGTGGTATACAGGCAGTCCTCGACTTACGACCACAGTTGAACCCATTTCTGCTGTTAAGCAAGGCAGTTGTTGAATTTTGCCCCATTTTACGAACTTTCTTACCACAGTTGTTATGTGAATAATAGCCACTAAGTTAGTAACACAGTTGTTAAATGAATCTGGTTTCCCCATTGCTTGTCAGAAGTTCACAAAAGGTGATCACGTGACTGCAGCACACATCAACCATCATAAATATGATCCAGTGGCCAAGCGTCTGAATTTTGATCCCGTGACCATGGAGATGCTGCGACAGCCACAAGTGTGAAAAACGGTCATAAGTCGCTTTTTTCAGTGCCGTTGTAACTTCAAACGGTCACTAAGCGAATGGTTGTAAGTCGAGGACTACCTGTGTTCAAAATCATTGTTGCAATCATTTATCCAATGTTTCCATCCCTTTTTCACCCCTTCTGTGGCTTCAGCAGTAGGGGCGTACATAGAAGATGGAGGGAAGGTGTCTCTGTCAATTTGTCTCTGGTTGAAAAACAGGAATGGGCGGTTTAGCCTCTAGAAAGCATGACCAATTTGCGTGAGAGACCAACTCGAAGCTGTTGCTAAATTCCAAACAAGCCAATTTTGGGCTGAAACCAACTTTTTTTCTGAGAGAATCCGTGCAACGCACACATTGTAATGACAAGGCATTTCTCAAATCAATTTGTCCTGTTGAATCATTAAGAAGAAAAGAGAATTGTAGTCTTCACTCTGAAAAAGCATGGAGGAAATATATGTTTAAAATGTAATAGGGCACTCCCTAACTTATAGCTCATTCTTCTTAAATGTTAAAAGCCATTACATCCGTTATCACGTTAGGCCTTGCTCATGGTCACCCATGCCTTAAGTCGGCTCCCGTTTTCGATTACTGCAATGTACTCTACATGGGGCTGTCCTTGAAGATCATCTGGAAGTAGCAAATATGCAGTTTTGGATGCCCCACCATTTTTTGTTAGTGGGGCTTAAAACAAAGCAAAATCTACCATCATTGTTTATATGTGTTCTTTGTGACCATTGAAAAATCACCCCAGTAACTGACCTCTTTTTTCAATCAGCATGCTTAAATATTAGCAGACAGCTTGAATTTCTTATTTAAACCTCCTGTAGTTACAAACAGGATAAATGTGACCCAACACTTATCTTATTAGCATTAGTGTCGAGATTGGACGTCAGTGACTTTTAAAATAAGATCAGTTGTGTTTTGGAAATAGGTAGTGATATCTTGATCTTTCCAGGGGGGTTCCTATCTGATGCTGGCTGGTACAGTGATGCTGAAAAGGTCTTCCTTTCCTGCCTTCAGTTATGTTCCCTTCATGATGAGATGCTCCACTGGTTTCGTGCCGTCGAATGTTGCGTCAGGTAAGTACTGCTCTGTCTTGAAGGCTGAAAAAAATTCAAGCAGCAAAATGTACTTCTGCTTGTACGAAGGGATTATCCAAATGTTACAACACATGGTTGCTTTTTCTGTCCTCCCCAAACAGGAGTAAGAGGATGGAGGAAGGAAAAAAAAAAGATTTCTGTAAACAGTCTCTCCTTTGTCTGATCCGTTCCACACAAGAAGAGGTTACAAGAGAGTAAGCAGTTGAGGAATACACCAAGCTGCTTGTGTAATATACTTGCAGCTGCTGGTGCAGGCACATTGCTTTCTATGTCTATTCCACATTGTGTGCCTACTTACTCTTGTAATCCCTTCCTCTCCAATGAATGTAATTGCACACAATTCACTTCTATGAAGGAATTATCCAGATGTTACAATATATGATTGTTTTTTCTCTCCTCCAAACACTGAGATGGAGGAAGAAGAAAAAAAAGTGATTTCTTTAAACAGTCTCCTGCATCTGACCCATTCCCAACACTTGCAGAGCAGAGAGATTGGAGAAGAGGGGATTACAAGAGAGTAAGCAGTTGGGGAATATGTCAGAATGTTTGTGTGGTTCACTTGCAGCTGCTGTGCCAGCACATTGCTTTCTATGTGTATTTCTTGCTGTCCCCAGCCTCCAGTACCTCTCTAGGAGTCTGTAGGAGCCTCTCTAGGAGTCTCTGGAGGCTGGGGACAGGAGAAAACATCACTTCCTGTCCCACCAGGAGTCGGGAAATGGGCCCTTTCAGCCTCCGTAGGGCCTCCAAGGGAGTGGGAAAGGCTGTTTTCGCCCTTCCCAGATGCATAGAAAGGATCTGGAGCCAGGTAAGAAAGAAAAATGGGCCTTCCCCACCCCCCCAGGCCCTCCAGAGGCAGGAAACAGCCTGTTTCCCTACTTCCAGTGGGCCTAGAAGGCCCGAAAATCAGCTGGCCGGCGCGCACATGCGCCCCAGAGCTGAGCTGGCGTGCCCACTAATATGGCTCTGCGTGCCACCTGTGGCACGCGTGCCATAGGTTCGCCATCACGGACATAGGCTTTTAGCAGTAAATCAGTTCAATTGAACTTTCGTATGGACCTGATCTTTCCAGCCTGACGTTAATGAAACTATATCAGCAAATGTGGGGAACAGCACTGACCAACATATTGGAATAGGCCAATTTACATTCTAATAGACACCCCCCCCCCCCCCCCGAAAAAAAGGGACTTAACAGAATGTGCATTATATTATATAATGCTCTTAATTTCACATGCTAGCAAAATAATGTTTAGGATTAGCCAATGCAGGTTAGCCTTGCCCTACCTAGACAAGGAGGTGCCAGCTGTTCAAGCTGGTTTTAGGAAAATTCAAGGAACATGAGCCAGTATTGCTGATGCCGGCTGGATAATTGGGAAAGTTAAAAAATACCAAAAAGAAGGCAGTATTTGCTTCAAAAAATAGAGAAATGGATTGTGGGTTGTGTCAGTTGTGTCAAGGTGTGGTGTGTGGTTAGGAAAATGGCAATCACAGAACATCTTATGAGAAACCTACCATATATGCAGATCAGGAAGCTGCAGTACAGACACAACATGATGAAACCCAGATTGGCAAAGGAGTGAGACAAGGCTGCATATTGTCTTTATTTATTCAGCCTGCATGCTGATTATGCATTAAGGGGGGCTGATTTGAAAGATGATAAGCATGATTTTAAAATTGGAGGAGGAAATATTAGTAATATGCAGTATGCTAAGGCAAAGGTCATTGCTGTAGTTTTGATTTTTTTTATTTTGCCCTGTAGAGACACCTCCATTGTAGAGAAAGCCTGCTAAGCTGTCTGAAGAGAATAAGCACATCTAAGTTTACAAATTGATTGTATATAGTACCACTTTATAAGGCCTTGGTAAGACCACACTTGAAATACTGCATCCAGTTTTGGTCGCCACAATTTAAAAAAGATGTTGAGAGTCTAGAAAGTGTAGAGAAGAGCAACATAGATGATGGGATTGGAGGCTAAAACATAGAAAGAACTGTTGCTGGAATTGGATACATCTAGTTTAATGACAAGAAAGGTTTAGGGGTGACATGATAGCAGTCATATTTGAGGGGCTGCCACAAAGAAGAGGGAGTCAAGCTATTCTCCAAAGCACCTGAGGGCAGGACAAGAAGCAATGGGTGGAAACTAATCAAGGAAAGAAGCAACCTAGAACTAAGGTTAAATTTCCTGACATTTAGAATCAGTGGAACAACTTGCCTCCAGAAGTTGTGGATGCTCCAACACTGGAAGTTTTTAAGAAGATTGGAAAAACTATTTGATTGAAATGGTATACAGTCTCCTGCCTGAGCAGGGGGTTGGACGAGAAGACCTCCAAGGTCCTTCAAACTCTGTTATTCTGTTTGCTGATCTCGATTTAACAATAGTTCATTTAGTGACCATTTAAAGTTACACTGGCACTGAAAAAGTGACTTACGACCATTTTTCACTCTTAAGACTGTTGCAGCATTGTCACATTATCAAAATTCAGATGCTTGCAGCAGACTCATATTTATGATGGGTCGCAGTGTCCCAGGGTCTTGGGATTAGCTTTTGTGACCTTCTGACAAGCAAAGTCCAGGTGAAGCCAGATTCACTTAACCGTTTTATCAACTTCAGTGATTCACTTAAGAACGGTGGCAGGAAAGGTCGTAAAATGGGGCAAAACTGACTTAACAAATGTTTCATTTAAGAACATACATTTTGGACTCAATTGGGGTTGTAAATCGAGGAATACCTGTATTAAAACACACACACACACACACACACACACACACACACACAATCAAAGAACAGAAACGGCAGGGAATACAAACCTGGAAGGGAAGAAGGAAAAGGAAGAAAAAAAGGGGGAGTCCGTCATCTTTGCCAAAAAGCCTTGGTGAAGAACCATGTCTTCGGGATCCTTTGAAATATAATAGGGCGAGGGCTGTTCAAATCGCTATTAAAGATACAAATGGGGAAAATTCAAAATACAGAAAATGTCCAGAATTATCTGCGCCTCTATGATTTTGTGCCTGTGAAGAAGGCTTATTTTAAACTGAAGAATGCTCAGAGAAGCCTGGAGGGAAAGACATTAATGCCAGTCCTCAACTTAACAACTGACCATTCAAAGTTTTTGTTGTTGTTAGTTGTGAAGTCGTGTCTGACCCATCGTGACCCCATGGACAACGTTCCTCCAGGCCTTCCTGTCCTCTACCATCCTCTGGAGTCCATTTAAGCTCACGCCGACTGCTTCAGTGACTCCATCCAGCCACCTCGTTCTCTGCCGTCCCCTTCTTCTTTTGCCCTCAATTGTTCCCAGCATTTGGCTCTTCTCCAGGGAGTCCTTCCTTCTCATTAGGTGGCCAAAGTATCTGAGTTCCCTCTTCAGGATCTGGCCTTCTAGAGAGCAGTCAGGGTTGATCTCCTCTAGGACTGACCAGTTGGGTCACCTTGCAGTCCAAGGGACTCGCAGGAGTCTTCTCCAGCACCAGAGTTCAAAGGCCCCCATTCTTTGAAGCACAGCCTTCCTTATGGTCCAACTTTCACAGCCACACATTGCAACTGGGAAAACCATAGCCTTGACTATAAAGAAAGTGACTTATGACCATTTTTCACACTTATGACTGTTGCAGCATCCCCATGGTCATTTGATTTACACTTGAATGTTTGGCAAGTGACTCCTATTTATGACAGTTACAGTGTCTTGGGGTCACGTGATCCCCTTTTGCAACCTTCTGACAAGCAAAGCCAATGGGAAAGCTGGATTCACTTAACAACCGTGTTACTAACTTAAGAACAGCAATGATTCACTTAAGTATGGTAAGAAAAGTTGTAAATGGGGCAAAACGCACTGAACAAACTACTCACTTAGCAACATAAATGTTGGGCTCAATTGTAGTCATAAGTTGAGGACAGTCCGTACAGGTAGTTTCTGACTTACGACCGGGATTGTGCAGGGCAATTACGATGATAAATTGGAATGGTTGTAAAACAGGACACCATACAGCCAGACTCAATTTTAGAATCTTTTTCATGGCGATCATTAATCAAATGTAACAGTTGTTAAATGAACTCATTATTAGCTATGGGCCAGTTTTTCCTGGGAACCAAAAGTAAACTCTAATTTCCAACAAAAACATTATAAATTGCAGTCATGTGGCTGTGAAGCACCACGAATGGCCATAAATGTAGGCTTATTATTGAGCGCCCAAAATGAGTTCACATGACCATGGGGGAGTTTTTTGGGGGGTCCATCCAAACTTTGAATGGTTGCTAAGTGACCTAACGTAAGTTGAAAACTCACTATATAGTTTCACGAAAGACATGGGAATACGACCATGGGTTGGTTTGTAAAGTCACTCTCTTGTTTCTTTCAAGTTGCTTGAGACACCAATAATTACTTTTATAAGTGCTCTCCGTATTAAGATGATTTGTCTAAAGCACATTATTTTCCCTTCATGAAAAAAAGAAAGGATGTATGTGTTTTGTTTAATACAATTCAGAGGCCACCCAATTTCAAACAATTCTTGAAGGGGGCTTATAACGGAACAATTAAAAAAACAAGCTGTACTCCTCCAGAAAGTTTCTCCAAGGCATGTCTTTATAATACTAAAATGCCAGTTCTTATTTAGAGGTATGTTGGCCTGGTTTGGACATAAATACTTCAGTACAATAAAACAAAATCATGAGAACTCTCATATCTGGAGAATAAAAAGATATAAAAGCAGGAAAGTCACTTGTTACGTGGACGATGAAAGTTCTTTTCATAATCTCTGATCACAATATCTTACATTCCTTAGTGGTGGTGTAATTTCATCAGAACCCGGAAAGTGTATTAGACTTTCTGATTATAAACGAGAATTAATACAGTGTCTTGATTCCTAGTTAACTATTAAGCCATAGGTTTTCCACTTCAGATGGAATGAACTTATCTAGTTTGGCCCATTCCATGTGTTTTGCATTGCTGCATACAAAAATGTAGAGAGGCAATAAATGTCATTAGTCTGGTAAGCCATGGTTTATTAGAACTCAGCTATTGGGGATGAAGGTTTTCTGTGTCTTGCTGCTTGTGGATAAACTGACATATTTTTATTGCTTACTATTTTAAGACAAAGGGTGAGAAATCTTCCTGATTCCTTAATAATCATGCCATTTCTATACAGGTAGTCCTCTCAATTTACAACTATTTGCTTACTGGTCATTTGAAGTTAACAACAACACTGAAAAGAGTGATTTATGGCTGCTTTTCACACTTAACGGCCACAGTCACATAATCTAAGTTCAGATATTTGACAATCGGTTCATATTTATGACAGTTGCAGTGTCCTGGGGTCATGTGATCACCTTTAGCAGCCTTCTGGCAAGCAGAATCAACAGGGAAGCCAGCTTCACTTAATAACTGTTAGTAACAACTAGAGTCATTTACTTGATTGTGGCAAGAATGGTCGTAAAATGGGGAAAACTCAACTGTCTCACTTAGCAAGAGAAATGATGGGCTCAATTGTTGTAAGTTGAGGATTCTCTGTACAGGCAGTCCTCAACTTACAACCACAATTAAGCCCAAGATTTATGTTGCTAAGTGAAGAATTAGTTAAGTGAGTTTTGCTCTATTTTAGGACTTTTCTTGCCACAGTTGTTAAGTGAATCATTGCATTTGTGAAATTAATAACCTGGTTGTTAAGTGAATCTATTATTATTTTTTTTATTAATCATATTTCTATGCCGCCCACTCTCCAAGGACTCTGGGCGGCTTGCACCAAAGACAGTATATTAAACAGCATATTGCCCCCAACAGTCTGGGTCCTCATTTTACCCACCTTGGAAGGATGGAAGGCTGAGTCAACCTTGAGCCGGTGAGATTTGATCCGCTGATCTGCTGAAGTAGCAGTCAGCTGAAGTAGCTGCAGTACAGCACTCTAACCACTGCGCCACCTCGACTCTGGATTCCCTATTGACTGCTTGTCAGGAGGTTGCAAAAGGTGATTGCATGACCCCAGACACTGCAACCATCATAAGTACAAATCAGTTGCCAAGCATTTGAATTTTGATCACATGACCATAGGGATGCTGTAAAGGTGGTAAAGTGTGAAAAATGGTGTAAGTCACATTTTTCAGTGCCGTTGTAACTTTGAATGGTTGCTAAACAATCTGTTGTAGGTTGAGGATTCTCTGTAGTCTTGTATGAGAAGCATTCAATAAGTTGTGGGTCATAACACAGTTTCCTGGATCTCTTTCCTAGGTTATTGCACGTCCGGAATGGCAATTGTAAATATCACTTGGGAGAAGAAACCTTCAAATCAGCACAATCTTATATGGAAAAACTAGCTGAGCACGGCCAGCAAGCCAACAAAGCTGCCCTCTACGGAGAGCTGTGTGCTCTGCTCTTTGCAAAGAGTCATTACGATGAGGTGAGTCTGAAAAACAGGCAGCAAGAGTTCTCTCCAAGCAAGAGTTTGAATTAACTGAGCAAATAGCACACAGGCAGATAGAAAATGCTCCAATGATTTTGCAGCAAGATTCTCACATGATGCCAGCAGAACTTGGGTAAAGTTAGCCTTCTTCCCAGGTTTAAATGTTGAGATCTGCAAGAACACCAAGTTTGTCTTGGCCATAGTAAGGCCCGGTTGGCAGGAACTGGCATTTCACCCACCAGTTGGGAATAGATACTTGCTGGCTGTAGAGGTCTCCTTTCCAGACCTTAGCCCCGTGATAGCGAACCTACGGCACGCGTGCTACAGGTGGCATGCAGAGCCATGTCGGTGGGCACATGAGCGTTGCTCTAGTTCAGCTCCGGCGTGCATGTGTGCGCCAGCCAGCTGATTTTCGGGCCTTCTGTGCCTGCCGGAAGTCAGGAAACAGGTTGTTTCCGGCCGCCAGAGGGCCTCTGGGGGAATGGGGAAGGCCCGTTTTTCACTGTCCCCAGGCTCCAGAGGCTTTCTAGGGGCCGGAAGTCGGGAAAAGGGCCGTTTCCGGCCTCCGGGGGGGTGTTTTTGCCCTCCCCAGGCTCCAAGAAACCCTCTGGAGCCTGGGGAGGGCAAAAATGGGCCTACTGGGCCATTGCGTGCTATCGTGTGCCAAAAGGGGGGAAGCGTGGGGGGGTGGGGCGCATTGAATTATGGGTGTGGGCATACGCGCATGCGACCTCCCCACGAGCCTCAGGCAGGCTGTTCCCTTGATTTCAACACCAAACCTCTGATGTGGCTTGATTCAGTGGTCAGTCCTGCAACACTTGACTCTGATTAAAGCAGCAGTTCCTCAAGGCTCAAAGTTTGAATGCTCAAATGGACATGTATGAAAGAAGTGTGGGACAAGGTTGAATTTATTAGTTAGTTAGTTAGTTTATTTATTTATTTATTTGAGAGGTCCTTGGTGCTTTCTAAGCTTGCTTATTTTCTTGCAGACGTTTTATTAACCAAACTAGGTAATATCATCAGTGCTGGTACATCAGGTAACTAGGTAACATCACTAGCACTGATGATATTACCTAGCTTGGGTAATGAAACATCTGCAAAAAAGCAATCGAGCTCAGAGAGCACCAAGGACCTCTCATGTCAACCCTGAGCTACAATGTTCTCCTTTATTAGTATTTGTTTGTTTAGATTTCTATCCCTGCTTTATTATTTTACAAGTCAGTCAAATATGCATCCTCCTTCTATTTTCCCACAAAAACCTTCTCTCTGCAGCTTCCACTTCTTTCCAGTAACACCCCCAAGTTTAGGTTGTTGCCCTTCTCTCTCCCCCCCCCCCCCCCCGCAACAAATGATTCTGTGCTATCTGGAGAAGTTGCATTGATTGGGGATTATGGGGATTGAAATTCAGCTTCCCCAGAGGTGCCAATTAGTGGAAGACGGTTGTAAAATTGTTGGATGTGACCAGTGTGTGTTTCTTTGAAATCTGTGTAGCCTTAGTAACAAATGCTTTTCCAAACTTTTGTTGGGTGCTCCATAGGCTTACAAATGGTGTATAGAAGCAATGAAGGAGATCTCGGTTGGTTTGCCTGTAAAAGTAGTTGTGGATGTTTTACGACAAGCCTCAAAAGTAAGTTGAACAATTGTTTCTGTGCTGCTGAGGACAGGAAATCAGACACATTTTTCCTTGAGCCCACGAGAACCCGATTTCTTAAGAGAAAAATAAATATTTGCAAAATTCATAAAACTGTTCCTAAAGACAGAGGGAAGAATACAGGTACATCTCAATTTACGACCACAGTTGAGCCCAAAATGTATGCTTGCTAAACGAGACATTTGTTAAGTGAGCTTTGCCTCATTTTACGACCTTTCTTACCACAGTTCTTAAGTGAATCACTGTAGTTGTTAAAGTTAGTAACATAGTTGTTAGGTGAAACTGGCTTCCCCATCGACTTTGCTTGTCAGAAGGTCGCAAAAAGGGATCACATTTATTTATTTATTTATTTATTAATTTAATTTGTATATCGCCCTTCTCCCAGAAGGGACTCAGGGCGGTGAACAGCCAAAATTAAAAAACATACAAATGCAAAAGTTAAGATAATTAAAAGAATTAAATCATTGGCTACCCAAATTTAAAACCCCAAATCCATAAAATTTAAAATCCCAATTAAAAACCACTTGACCCCAGGACACTCCAACCGTCATAAATACATGCCAGTTGCCAAAGCCTCTGAATTTTGATCACATGACCATGGAGGGGGAATGTTCTTAAGTGTGCAGAATGGTCATAAGTCATTTTTTTTCAGTGCTACTGTCACTTTGAGCAGTCCACTAAATGAACCGTTGTAACTCGAGGACTACCTGTACCTAAACATTGGCCCTCTGCCTACACACTCTGTAGTGGAGATCGCAGGTTGTGTTTTGGGTCCTCCTTCGAGGTGTGGGGGATGGCAGCAAGACAGGCCTTTAAATATCCACGGAGCCTTAATTTCTTAATTTCTTCTGTTTTAGGCTTGCGTTGTGAAACGTGAATTTAAGAAAGCCGAGCAGTTGATAAAACACGCAGTGTACCTAGCACGGTACGTAAGAGGTCTCTTGAAACGCTACAACCTGCTCCGTCCTTTTGGGAAGATTTCGTGATGTTCTTACCTGGAGCGTTTTTGTTTTCTTTTTAATCTTTCAGGGAGCATTTTGGAGCCAAGCATCCTAAATATTCGGACACTCTACTTGACTATGGATTTTATTTACTCAATGTAGATAACATATGCCAGTCAGTTGCAATTTATCAGGTACGGCTTTGGTTTCGTAATTTATTGCAAGCCAGTAAGTGAATGTTACTGTTGTCGTATTTAATGTTTTCTTCTCCATAAGGTCAGAGAATAGGCATGCCAAAATAAAGTCAAACGTCATATTTTCTTCAATCGAGCTTGGAAAATCATTTAGAGTCTTCATGCCTAATTGTGAACTTAATCTCAAGTAGAACAGAAGCTGGCAATACTATTTATTTATTTATTTATTTATTTATTTATTTATTTATTTATTTATTTATTTATGCAACATAAGGTAGCAGGTATGAATATGAACATGGACATGAACGAAGGAAATGAATACAAATAAATGGGGACAGTAGGACAGGGACGGAAGGCATGCTGGTGTGCTTATGCACGCCCCCTCTACGGACCTCTTAGGAATAGGGTGAGGTCCACGGTGGACAGTTTGAGGTTGAAGTTGTGAGGGTTTGAGGCTGTAACAACGGAGTCGGGTAGAGCATTCCAGGCGTTGACCACACTGTTGCTGAAGTCATATTTTCTTCAATCGAGTTTGGAGCAGTTTACCTTGAGTTTGTATTTATTATTTGCCCATGTATTATTGAGGTTGAAGCTGAAGAAGTCGTTGATGGATAAGACGTTGTAGCAGACAATTTTGTATACTGTGCTTAGATCAAACCGCAGGCGGCGCAGTTCCAGATTGTCCAAGCCCAAAATTTCAAGTCTGGTGGCATAAGGGATTCTATTGTGAGTAGAGGAATGGATTACTCCTCTCGTGAAATACCTCTGGATCCGCTCAATCGTATTAATGTCCAATATACAGTGTGGATTTCAGGCAGACGAGCTGTATTCAAAAATTGGTCTGGCAAAGGTTTTGCATGCCCTAGTTAGCAATACAATGTTACCGGAGAAGAAGCTGAGAGAGAGAGAAAAGAGTAAAGAAAAAAAATATATAAAATAGAGTAAAAGCTATATACAGGTAGTCCTTGACATACAACCACAATAGAGCCCCAAATTTCTGTTGGTAAGCAAGGCAGTTGGTGAGTAAGTGAGTTTTGCCCCATTTTATGCTCTTTCTTGAGACGGTTGTTAAACGAATTCACTGCAGTTGTTAAGTGAATCATGCAGTCATTAAGCAAATCTGGCTTCCGCTTTTACTTTGCTTGTTGGAAGCCAGCTGGGATGGTTGCAAATGGTGATCACATGACGCCAGGACAGTGCAACTGTCCTAAATACATGCCAATTGCCAAGCATCTGAATTTTGATCACCTGACCATGAGGATGCTACAAGGGTCATAAGTTCAAAAAGCAACCATAAATTACTTTTTTCAGTGCTGTTGTAACTTTGAACGGTCACTAAACGAATGGTTGTAAGTCGAGGACTATATGTAATGCTCCTGTGCTTTAGGCAGTCCTCTACTCTTTGCAGTATAGCCAAAAGATCCGCCCTCAGTTAATTTGCCTTTAAATGCAGCTTGTTCATCTTAGAGAATAGAACAGGACAGAACAACAGAGTTGGAAGAGATCTTGGAGGTCTTCTAGTCCAACCCCCTGCTCAAGCAGGAGACCCTCAACCATTTCAGACAAATGGTTGTCCAGTCTCTTCTTAAAAACCTCCAGTGATGGAGCATCCACAACTTCTGGAGGCAAGTTTTTCCACTGATTGTTTTCACAATCAGGGAATTTCTCCTTAGTTCTAGGTTGCTTCTCTCCTTGATTAGTTTCCACCCATTTCTTCTTGTCCTGCCTTCAGGTGCTCTGGAGAATAGCTTGACTCCCTCTTCTTTGGGGCAACCCCTGACGCATATCTTAGCCTTAGAAGTGCTAGAAGAGTGTGGGGTTTGCTCTGATTTTTATATACCTTCCCCTTTATATAAAGGAGGTGGTTTGGTTTCTTTGTTCCCTTTTTGGCTGTTTGGTTGTCTCTTTTGACGTGGTATGTAGATATTGTTTATGTCTATGTGCCTGTTGATGGCCACTCAGACAAATCACAAACAACAGCTACATACCATTAAAAAGAGACAATGAAAAAGCCAAAAAGTTAAAAAAAAAACAAAACCACTTTTCCAGCAAGCAACACCCAGATAAGACTAGAGATGACTGTAGTACCAAGGTTAACACTAGATCAGCAATCAAGAAGTAAACAGTACATCAATCAAGGAACTACTAGTACCCAGATCACACACTGATGAAAATGGAACGTTATATAAATAAAACAAATAAAACACTTGAGGGTGATGGGGAAGGAACTACTAATACAGACAAACAAGGGGCAATAAATAAGAGCCCAGTCAAGAGCCACCCAAAACACACTCATCAACATTGACAGGGCAAGCACTGTATATAAAATGATGGCTGATGATGTTACCTAATTGGGTAATGAAACGTCTTCAAGAAAACCACCAAGCTCAGAGAGCACCAAGGCCCCCGCATTTTAAAATAAATCATACAGTTAGTAGTATCAGTCTACCTATCTTTGGGACCATAGGATGGAAAAGAAAAGAGTAAGGGGGATTATAGCTTCATCTCTCCACTGTTACCTCTAATGTGATACTTGACTTTAGCCAGTTCCATTGGAATGTTCCAAGTAAGGCTGTCTTATCCCAAACTTGAAACAATTTCCCCTTTTTTCAGTCTTATGTGCTTAGTTAAGGCGATGGCATCCCTACTATGTCTGTGGAGATTCTCAGTCATCCAGGTCATAGTTGTCCCAAAGGTGCTTTTTCAAGAGGCAACTGGACTTCCTTGTTTTTTTTCTTTGAAGACATTTTGCTTCTCATCCAAGAAGCTTCCTCAGTTCTGTTTTAGCTGAAGAAGCTTCTCGGATGAGAAGCGACACGTCTTCAAAGAAAAGCAAAAAAGTCCAGTTGCCTCTTGAAAAAGCACCTTTGGGACAAGTCCCTATAATGTTAAAACATACTGTACAAGAATGTAACCAACCCTAGGATAATGGGCAGAAGATTCTGTTTGCAACTAATCTGATGTTAGATATGTAAAAAAAAAAAATAGTTTTGACTGCAAATTGACTTACTGGCTAAGATAAATATTTTTTTCACAAATTATTTCAGACAGCCTTGGACATCAGACAGTCGGTGTTTGGCGGCAAAAACATCCATGTAGCTACAGCTCATGAAGATCTAGCATACTCTTCTTACGTTCACCAATACAGTTCGGGAAAATTTGATAATGCACTGTGAGTACTGTGTTCATTTATTTATTATATTTATTATATTTATTTATTATTTTTTATTTTTTGATTTATATGCCGCCCTTCTCCAGAGACTCAGGGCGGCTTACAATGTGCTAAGCAATAGCCTTCATACTTTTGTATATTTATACAAAGTCAGCTTATTGCCCCCACAAGCTGGGTCCTCAATTTACCTACCTTAGAAAGGATGGAAGGCTGAGTTAACCTTGAGCCTTGGCGAGATTCGAACCTGCAGTAATTGCAGGCAGCTGGTCTTAATAACAGGGTGCTTTAGACCACTGTACTACCACGGCTCTTAGAACCCGAATGATTTTATTTATTTATTTATTTATTTATTTATTTATTTATTTATTTAATTTATTTTTCAGATTTCTATACCGCCCTTCTCCTTTCGGACTCAGGGCGGTGAACAGCCAAAATAAAACATTCGTACACAAAAGTTAAAATAGATTTAAAATAATTAAATAAAGTTTGGGCCATAATTTAAAACATTTCAATTAAAATTTTGTTCTTTATTTCGAAGTCCATTCTGATGTTAGAAAAATACGTTTTGCTGAGATGGTAAATTTCAGAATTCATTTCACCCTTTTTGCCAGCATGACAGATAATTTTTCTTTGTCCTGCGTTTTTTTTTTCCTTCCTAAATAAGAAGCTATAAAAATACCTGGTAGCCTTTTGTTTTTGAGATTTTGACTACTTGCTATACAGGTAGTCTTCAACTTACAAGTATTCTTTTAGCGACCATTCAAAGTTACAACGGCATTGGAAAAAGCGACTTACAGCTGGCACTCACCCTTACATCTATCCCCACAGTTAGGTGATCGAAATATGGACACTTGGCAACTGGCATGTACAGATAGTCCTCGACTTACAACAGTTCATTTAGTGACAGTTCAAAGTTATAACAGCACTGAAAAAAGTGACTTATGATCGTTTTTCACAGTCACAACCTTTCCAGCATCCCCATGGTCATGTGATCAAAATTCAGACACTTGGCAACTGACTCATATTTACGACGGTTGCAGTGTCCCAAGATCATGTGATTCCCCTTTAGCGACCTTCTGACAAGCAAAGTCAATGGAGGAAGCCAGATTCACTTAACAACCATTTCACTAATTTAACAAATGCGATGATTCACTTAACAATTGAGGCAAGAAAGGTTGTAACACGGGGCAAAATTCACTTAACAAATATCTCACTTAACAACATCAATTTTCAGCTCAACTGTCATCGTAAGTTGAGGACTACCTGTATTTACGATGGTTGCAGCATTCCTGAGTTACGTCACTGCCTTTTGTGACTATCCCAGGCAGCTTCCAGCAAGCAAAGCCAAAGGGAGAAGCCAGATTCACTTATCTGAGTGTCTCAGTTAACAACTGCAACAATTTGCTTAACAACCATGGCAAAAAGGTCTCAAAAATCAGGCTCAACTCACTTAACAATTGCCTTCTTTAGCAGTGGAAATTCTTGTCCCAATTATGGTCCTAAATTGAGGACTCCCTGTAAAACCAAAATCAGGCTATTCACATTTTAAACCACAATTGAGTCCAGAGTTTATGTTGCTAAGTGAAAAATTGGTTCAGTGAGTTATGCCCCATTTTATGACTTTTCTTCTGACAAGCAAGGTACGTGGGGAAGCCACAGTCACTTAACTGTGTCGCTGCGATAATTAACTTAACATCTGTGACAAGAAAGGACATAAAATGGGGCCAAATTCATTTAACTTATCTCTCACATACTGTGTTTCCCCGAAATAAGACCCTGTCTTATTTTTTTTGAACCCTGAAATAAGTGCTTATTGCCATGCACTCAAAAGCCCCATTGGGTTTATTATCGGGCTGTCTTATTTTGGGGGAAACAGGGTAGTAACAGAAATTTTGGGCTCAATTGTGGTTGTAAGTCCAGGACTACCTGTACACAGTCTGGAGGTTTTCCCAGATTCGCAGCGCTGTGAATCTTAAAGATCCTTTATGGCATGGGCCCAGGGTATCACTCCAATGGGACTAGCCTGCCCCACTTGTTCCAGCAGAAAGGGCCTACTTTGGATCCCATCAGTCAGAGAATTTCAGCTGGCAGGGTCCAGGAGAAGAGCCTTTTTTTGCTGTGGCCCCCACCCTTCAACTTGGCTTTTAGCTTTTCTATTTAATTTTTCTAATTTTAATTGCTTTGTAGTGCTTTTTTAAAAAAAACTTTTATTATATTGCAAGTTGCCCAGAGTCGCTTTTATCAATGAGATGGGTGGCACAGAAATTTAATAGATAAATGTCAGTAGTAGTCAAGGAGGCATTTACACAACTCTGTCTGGTATACCAGTTGCTCCCTTTCTTAAATCAGGGAGTACTTCAGATAGTTAGTCATGCCCCAATCACATCGTAGCTTGACTACTGCAATGTCTCTCCATGGGGCTGCCCTTGAAGACCATCTGGAAGCTTCAACTGATCCAGAACGCAGCTGGGCAAGCAATGATGGGCATGCCTCAGGATAGCCATATAAGACTTCTGCTTCATGTGCTGAATTGGTTGCTAGTTTGCTTCCGGATGCCATTCCAGATGATTCCATAAATGGCATAGTGCAGTGTTTCTCAACCTTGGCTGCTTTAAGGCGGGTGGACTTCAACTCCCAGAATTCCCCAGCCAGCCTTAGCAATTCTGGGAGTTGAAGTCCACCCATCTTAAAGCAGCCAAGGTTGAGAAACACTGGCCTAGTGAGTGAAAGGAATAGGAGAGGAGAAAAAACACTGTTGTTTTCTGTCATCAGGACATATTCTTTGTTTCAAGTGGGAAAGTCGTGGCTTTTCGCCAAGTCACACAGTTGGGCTGGCCAAATTCCAGGATAGGGACCAGGAGCTCACATTTTCCTCTTGCTTGTCTTTGATCTTTTAGATTCCATGCAGAACGTGCGATTGGCATCATCACCCACATTCTCCCAGAAGATCATCTCCTCCTCGCTTCCTCCAAAAGAGTTAAAGGTATTATCTGCCGGCCGGGTTTAGCTGCCATGGGAAGAAAACAGAAATGGCTACTGATGGCTTTAGAGAATTCAACGCTCTGAGGAAACAGGGATAAGTGAGATAAGCCTTTGTGAGTTCCTTGACAACGAGAACTAGTTTGGTCTAGTAGTGGTTAAGGCACCAGGCTTGGAACCAAGAGGCCATGGATTCTAATCTTACCTTAGACATGAAAACCACTGAGAGATGGCGAGTTCTAGTCCTGCCTTAGACATGAAAGCCAGCTGGCTGATTTTGGGTCAATCACCAGGAGACGGTGAGTTCTAGTCCCGCTTTAGGCATGAAAGCCAGCTGGATGACTTTGGACCAATCACCAGGAGATTGGGAGTTCTAGTCCCGTTTTAGGCATGAAAGCTGGCTGGCTGATTGGCTTACATCCTTCACAGCATCCCCATGGTCACATGATAAAAATTCAGACACTTGGCAACCAACATGCATTTACGATGGTTGCAGTGTCCAGGTCATGTAATCAACAGATTCATTTAACAACTGCATGGTTCACTTAACAATGCAACAATTCACTTAACAACCATAGCAATAAAGGTTTAAAATCGGGTGTGATCCACTTAACAACTGCCTTGCTTACCAACAGAAATTCTGGTCCCAGTTGTGGTCACAGGTCAAGGGCTACCTGTAGCAGCCTTTCTTATAATTGGTGTGGAAAGGGCTTGGTAGACTAATTGCAAGTCTAAATTGATACGGTTAGACAGAAGATTGGAAAAGTCACAGCCAGAGACAGATCTACCTGAACATCTGCTCAATCTGAGATTCCTTGTCTTGTTGACTGATAACTGAGGCAGGATAAAAATGCTGAAAGAACTTCTTTGTCTTGATTCCGGAAGATGACTTTTAGACCATGGTCTTCTTCACTCGCCAGTTATCTTTCAATATCTTTTATTAATCTGTAGTGGCACAGTGGTTAAAATGCAATATTGCAGGCTAATTCTGCTGGCCGGCAGCAGTTCGATTCTGACCGGCTCAAGGTTGACTCAGCCTTCCATCCTTCCGAGGTCGGTAAAATGAGGACCCAGTTTGTTGGGGGCACTATACTGACACTGTAAACTCCTTAGAAACGGCTGTAAAGCACTGTGAAGCGGTATATAAGTCTAAGTGCTATTGCTAATCCACTTTTTTTTATCTCCCCCCCCCCCTCTTTTAAAGCGCTTATCTTGGAGGAGATTGCAATTGACTGCCACAATAAGGAAACCGAGCAAAGGCTGCTCCAGGAAGCTCACGACCTGCACCTCTCCTCTCTCCAGCTGGCCAAGAAAGCATTTGGGGAGTTCAACGTTCAGACAGCAAAACACTACGGCAACCTTGGCCGACTTTATCAGTCAATGAGGAAATTTAAGGTAAATCCAACTTTCTCAGGGCGGTGGGCAGGAATGTCGCTAAAATGGGCATTTTGTCACAGCAGGATACAAGTAGACTTCGACTTATGACTGATTTTGGGCAAAAACATCATAAATTGCAGTCACTCGAGATGCTGCAAAACAGCCAGAGATGTGGGCCGGTTGCCAAATGCCCAAGATGAAGTAATATGCCTTGTGGGGGTGGCAGAGGGGGAACTGATGTGTTAACTTCAAAACCAGGTCATAAGCAGCTTTTGAAAGGTCCGTCACAACTTCAAATAGTGGCTAAATCGTAAATTGAGGACTACTTGGACTATTTAAATTTTCTTTGAAATGCATTACTTTGTAATAATAATTGCTAATTAATTTTGTTGTTTTTGTATCACCAAAGTTACTAAACTTTAGTCTTCATGCTACATACAACAACAGGTTATAAAGAAGATCATTGATTTGAGGGTCAAGTTTTCTGCATTCATTGCCTGTTTTTTTAATTAAGCAGCATGAAAATAAATAACTTTTACTTCATTTTTATTCTTTCTATTTTTTAAAAAAAAAATACATACATTTTTATGGCTCCAAAATAAGTCAGACCTGTTAATATGATACTAGTATAAGTCAGCTAACAACTTGCTCTATTACAGGTGGTTCTCGATTTATGATAACAATTGAGCCCGAAATTTCTGTTGCTCAATGAGACATGCAGTTATAAGTGAAAAACGGTCCTAAGTTACTTTTTTCAGTGCCATTGTGACTTCGAACGGTCACTAAACGAATGGTTGTAAATTGAGGACTATCCGTATGTAGAAGGAAGGCAGGTGTATTACTGAGAAGGCATTATGAACCCAGCTTTTAAAAAAAAAGTCTTGATTGGAAGAAATTGTAGCAATCATGGGAATATTTAGTCCAGGAGTCTCCAATCTTGGCAGCTTTAAGACTTGTGGACTTCAACTCCCAGAATTCCTCAGCCAGCTTTGCTTTGCTGGCTGAGGAATTCTGGGAGTTGAAGTCCACAAGTCTTAAAGTTGCCAAGATTGGAGTCCCCTGGTCTAGTACACCTACTTCCTTCTCTCCACCTCAGTGCTTAATTTAGACAAGCACCTTTTTCAGCATTCGTAAGAATAAAATAAAGTTTCACCGATGTTCACAGCCAGAATGCAGCAGGTTCAAATTCAGCCACTCCACCAACTCATTCAAATTATCTCACTCCATCTCAAAATTCTTTGTTCAGCTGATTCCCCATGCGCCCTCTTGTCTGAAAAGTTTTAAGCTTAGCTTTTTGTTTTAGGTTTTTAAGAACATTAGCTTGTATTCTCAAGCAGGCAGAGACACTTACTTGGGTTTGATGAAAAAAAAATTAGCCATAACGACTCCTAAGTCAGTACTTTACCATTTTGGCTATTGCAGGAAGCAGAAGAGATGCACATCAAAGCAATTCAGATCAAGGAGCAGCTGCTCGGTCAAGAAGATTATGAAGTCGCTCTTTCGGTGGGACACCTCGCCTCGCTCTACAACTACGACATGAATCAGTACGAAAACGCTGAGAAGCTTTATTTGAGATCCATCGCAATTGGTGGGTCAATTCTTTTAACTCTTCAGGGGAAGGGTGGCGCTGGGAGCCCCTTGACCCTCGTTTATAGAAAATTGATAGACAAATAGATAGACACTGTCTATAGATTGGATGGATGGATGGATGCTAGATGGATGGACGGATGGACAATAGGGGAAGAGACAGAGAGTGAGATAGATAGAGATAGACAGACAGACAGACGATGGATGATAGATAGATAGATAGATAGATAGATAGATAGATAGATAGATAGATAGATAGATAGATGTAGATGTAGATACATAGATTCAGAGAGGGAGAGAGGGGAAGAAATGATGGATGGATGGACAGACGATAGATAGATAGATAGATAGATAGATAGATAGATAGATAGATAGATAGATAGATAGATAGATAGATATGTAGATACATAGATTCAGAGATTCAGAGATTCAGTGATGGGGGAGAGGAAGAGATGATGGATGGATGGATAGATAGATGATAGATAGATAGATAGATAGATAGATAGATAGATAGATAGATAGATACATAGATTCAGAGATTCAGAGATTCAGAGATTCAGAGATTCAGAGATTCAGAGATGGGGGAGAGGAAGAGATGATGGATGGATGGATGGATGGATGGATGGATGGATGGATAGATAGATAGATAGATAGATAGATAGATAGATAGATAGATAGATAGATCTGTCTTCTTAAGGGTTGTGAGCCCGTCGAAATGTTGCTAGAAAGAAAAACTTTTAAGGTACTGGTAGGATTTTAGCTAAGGTTTTAAAGGACCTTGTGAGGATTTTTGGAAGATTTTAAGCTAGGATTTTAACCAGAATTTTAAACATTTTAACTAACTTATTTAACATGATGCGGGAAAACACCCGAGATTTTAATTTTTTGCATACATATAGATGTAGATACATAGATTCAGACAGAGATAGGGAGAGAGGGGAAGAGATGGATGGATGGATGGATGGATGGATGGATGGATGGATGGATGGATGGACAGTTGATAGATAGATAGATAGATAGATAGATAGATAGATAGATAGATAGATAGATAGATAGATAGATGATGCATACATACATACATACATGGATTGATTTTTATAGCCAGTTGAAGCAAGTCTGTTGGGAGATCCTTCTGACCAGTTAGCCTCTCCTGGTCCTTGTGTTTTAAAGCATTTAAAGTAAGATCCCAGATTCATAATTTAGACCTACATTATTAACTGGTTAATCATTGGGTGTAATTAAGGTAATTAATGTAAATTCCCTTTGAAGAAAGAAAGCAGGAAGAATAATGGAGGGTTTGGAGCAAACAGTTAAGCTTTTTTCTAATCATTGGAGATGATGACTTCTTCCCAGAAAAAGAAACTTTGGAGTTCTTCCAGGATCTCTTTTTCCCCCCATGGATTATTCTGTTGATAAGTCCAAACTTCCTTGGAAAAATCTGAAGAGGTCCATTTCTAAAACCATTTATTCACACTCCCAAAAAATTATTCTAGTTTTTTTTTTTTTTTAAATTCTATCTATATACTATCTATAATTCTACCTATAATTTTAAAACACAAAAATCACACTTTAATATGGCAGCCTTTAATATTGTTCTCGGTTTTCCGATTTTGTTGTTTTAGGAAAAAAGCTTTTTGGGGAAGGTTACAGCGGACTAGAATATGACTACAGGGGCCTCATTAAACTGTACAACTCCATTGGCAATTACGAGAAAGTATTTGAATACCACAACATCTTAGCCAACTGGAACCGATTGCGGGATCGGCAATTTTCAGTCACAGATGCCCTAGAGGATGTAAGCACCAGCCCTCAATCAACTGAACAAGTTGTCCAGTCTTTCCTGATGTCTCAGACCGTCGAAGGACCCATTTGCTAAGGAACTTGGTCAATTTTACCAATTCTTGTTTCCTTCTTCGTTTTCCCCCCAGATTTACACGGGAAAAGTCATACTGTGAAATTCGAAACCATATTTCATTTTTTTTCCCCCTTTTTCCCCTCCTTTCCCGGAGCTGTTTATATATATATATATATATAAAAAATACATTGAAGCACTGGTCCAGTCCATAAAAATCCTCATTTTGGGGATGACATCAACTTTTGATGGAGTGACCATGAGCCGGACATGTGCTTAATATGCACAAGCATGAGCACAGCATATTTTGTTTGGGTTCAAGGTGCGTGTGTGTGTATGTGTATGGTTCACAAACACGTACACACAAGCATGTACGTGCGTGCGGGGAGGGAAGATCTCTAATAATCTCAAAAAAAAAATTTTTGTTCTAAAAAAAGCCACTTTACAAAAAATCGCTGCAAAGACTAGAGAGAAATAAAACCATTCAACAGTTTTTAAAGAGTTGCATTCTTAATTGAGAAAAAAGGGTGCCAGGATTATTTTCTTCCTACAATAAAACAAGAGACTTTTATTCAGTATTAGGGCCTGCAGAATCTGGATGCAAAGGAGGAAAAGTATGATCAGGACTTGTGTCCAGACAGACACCTAGCTTCTGTCCGGGGGTGTGGGGGGAAGCATCTTTTCCTGGGCTCACGCAGCAATGGCAATCTGCCGTTTGACCCACAATGCCAGAAATAGATGGCTCAAGAATTTCCTTGCCTGACCAAGCTTGCTCCTAAAACCCTTTTTGTCCTCTGCACCCAGATCTCTCCACAGTATGGATGATTTAAATAAATAAATAAATAAAAAGATTGAAAAGCAAAAACCTGCACATGTACAGAAAGATGCTGGGAAGGTTTCTCCTTCTCACCTTTTAAAGCAACAGAGATTTCTTTGGAGAAGGAACACGTGTTTGTGAAACAGCTTTGAGAAGAATGTGTGAACTGGACCAGTAGGTTCGCACCACCATGGTGAGAAGTCTCCAAAATGAACCTCTTGGCCTCAATTTGCTTTCTTCTTGTAATACAGGCAAGGTGTTTATTTGGTTTATTTTTATTTTTATTTTATTTTATTTTTTTTGGTGACAGGACCAGAATAATTTAAAGGGGACCAGCCTGCCCTTCAAAAAAGAAGTCGTGGAACAGTGCCTTATGTACTGTTTCTCATGCCCCCCCCTCCCCGGGTTCCCTTTGACCCAGTAGATTAATTTAATGAAGGGTGCATTTTCAACACTACCCGAGACATGGCAAGACAGAACAGAGAATATATTAGCAGCTTCCACCGTTTTCAGCCGTTGCAGTGATCATGCCTTTTAAACTACTATGGATTACACACTAAAATGTTATTTTGCATAAACAAAACTTTTAAAAACGCTTCTCCATCCTCCCCTTCTGCCTTTTCAAACTAGGCTGTCTCTAAAGGCTGCAACTTGCTTGTGCTGAGTTTTTTCTTCTTCTAAAGTATCTGGCTTTATTTTATTTTATATCTTTGGAGATGACGGTTCCTTTTTATACTTTGCAGAGGTCACTGAAATAATATCCGAAGAAGAAGAAAAAGCACAGCAAGGCAGTCACCGTCTCTTTTGCTCCCCTTTCTGTTTTTAAGCCTCATTATTTTTGTTACACCGAACAATCAACCACAACGCGATTTCCTTAACTTCATTTTTAAATGCTTGTCGTTTCCTCTTTTTTTTTTTTTTTTTTAAGCGTTAATGCCTGTCTCACTAGTTTGTCTTAATTTGAGGGTGGGGTTGCCTTTTTCTTTTAAATGATGAACTGTCTTTTAAATGTTGAGGTAATCATTGAAATTTTGAAAGACCTGGGGGAGTCCGGTGCCCAGTTTGGAAAGCAGAAACAAAAAAACTTGCTCTTACCTCAGTTTTAAATATGGAGACGCTGACATTGTCTCTGTATATGAAAGTATTGGTGGGCAGCCGCCCCTATTTTCAGGGGTTTTATAAGCTGCCAGGGAAAGAGCTTTGGCTAGCAGAAAGCACCTCTAGGATTTGGAATGAATTTTATTTGCCGTTTTAATTTTTGGGGGGAGGGGAATGAAAGATCTGCCTGTCTGTTCTTAAAGCCATGGACTCCACAAAAAATAGCAATGAGTGGCTTTATATATTCCTCTTTATCCTGAATATAGCAATACCATTGGCTTTTAAAGTAGAATATTGCAGGACAGTCCTTTTTGTTTTGAACTAGTGCCTTTTAAGAATTCCTTCTTCCCTTCCTTCCCTCTCTCCCTTCTTTCTTTCTTTCTTTCTTTCTTTCTTTCTTTCTTTCTTTCTTTCTTTCTTTCTTTCTTTCTTTCTTTCTTTCTTTCTTTCTTTCTTTTTCTTTCTTCATTTCTTTCTTTCTTTTTCTTTCTTTCTTTCTTTCCTGGAGGCGGGGCATCTTATAATTCTTTGGTGAAAAATTTGGGAAGCAAATTTTATGCGGGGACAGACCGGAGCAAAAACATACTTTAGAGAGTTGGCAGTTGGTTCCACGGAGGTTGGCCTTTGATTTGGGGGCATGAGTTCGGGATCGGTCCCTTGAAAAGGTGGTTTGGGAGGTGTAACATTGGCAGTCAGAAATCCCGCTTGCCTTGGGACTCTGACCAAAAGATTTGGGGCAGCGAGGACAGGTGAAAACCACACCTCCGCTTGGGTTGATGTCTCTAGTAAGAATTTGCAGGTCTTCAGTCCTGTTTGCAGACAGCTGTATGGGTGCTCTTAATAGTTTAAGGCTGTTTCCCCCCCTCCCCGCCACCCCCGAGTCTTATAATAAGATACGTTGCTAAGAGGTTCATTCTTTTAGGGACAAAGCCGTTGATTAGTTTGTCTGGAGAGTTCTTTGTTTCTTCATTTGGTTTCTGGATCTTTGGGCTTCCCCTGGCTCTTTTCGATTCCCATTGTTAACTTTCGTCTTTAAGCGGGATTCTCCATCGGAGTGGCAATGTAAACACTTCACTTTGCTTTATTCCCCATCGTAGGTTTTAAAACCATGGCTTCTCTCTCTCTCCTTCCCTGTCTCCTCTCACGCAAAAGCTGCCTGTTTCCTAAATCATGTCGGTTATATTCTCAGTTGCATTTAGTTGATCGAAATCCCAGAAGGGAAAATTAAATCAATCCATGTTTTCATTTTGTTTTTTGTGCTGGCATGTTGCAACCGTCCTATAGTAGGAAGAAGAGGAAGAAATATGCCTGGAACACTTCCTCCCCCTCTCCCCATTTGCAGTGAAAACACAGGAAATATTGTCTCCAACTTTAGAGAAAGTTTTTTTTTCCCTTCAAAGTTGGAAGATGGAACTTGCAGCTCCATCTCCCAAATTTTTCATTGCAGAATTAGCCAGACCCATGTTGATGGCATGACATCTGAACTGAGCTCTCAGATGCTGGCTCTTCAGGTCCCTTGATTTTGAAAATCATGACACGCTAAAATCTCACAGCCGAATAAAGTCGTGCAAAATTCTTGACATCCCCCACCCCAACCCACTCCCGTTCTTTTGGAAGCCTTGCTCTTTCTCGTGATGACCAGCAAGTTTAATTCCAGGGTGCCTCCCTGAAATCTTAGACCAGTCTTTCCCACCCCCAGCCTTCTCCAGATCTATTGGATCACAAATCCCATCATCCCCCGCCTGTTATTGCAGGTCACTGGAGGTGAGGGATGATGTGGTAATATAAAGCATGTGGAAAATTGGCTGCAGTTGCCTTCTTTTTTTCCTGAAATTGCAATTAAAACTCGGGGGGGGGGGGGGGGGGACACCACTGGATGGATGGATAGTTTGAACTCAAAACCAGATGGAGAAACTTGACAAAACTCACAAGATAATTCTTTTAAATCTTTGGCTGCTGGAAAGACGGGACTAGGAAATATTGGTGAGCTTTGAGCAATTTCCTTAGTTGATGCTTTTTTTGAGGTGGGGTCATCCTTCCTGTGCCAGTTCAAGTGCTGATGTTGCCAATGATATACATGTTTGTTTTCTAATCCATATTACTTGTTTTACATCATGGGTGGATTTTGGAGCATGAGAATGTGTTTTATCGCTAAAGTAGAAGATCCAAATTGCATTCCTCAGTGAATCACGCACAGTGGCACCACAAGGAGCCAGTTGTGCAGTTTGGTATTTAGTATTTGCAAGGAATTATTTATCTAATCTGTTCGTCCCAGTATTTAAAGTAATTTAGCCAAAAATATTCTTTTTTCCCCATCCCTTTGCCTTCACCTACCCAGAAATCCCGATCAACTGTTATCTAGATCAGGGGATCTCCAAACTTAGCAACTTTAAGACTTTTGGACTACAACTCCCAGAATTCCTCATGACCAACTGGGGAGTTCTGAGAGTTGAAGTCCACATGTCTTTTGCCAAGGTTGGAGACTCCCTCATCTAGAGCAACTGGGAGCAGAAGAATTCTTGTAAAGTATAAAAGTCAGACTTCAGAGTCACTTTTGAACACTGCCAGCGTGCCATGGTACCCATTGAAAAATAGAGTGAAGGGCAAACTCTATGTGGTTGTGCTGAACTACACCAGACTTCAGCTGTGTTGCTGTTAATTAAAGGCTGAGAGGGCACGGGAGTATTCAAGTCTAGGCCAATTAAACTGTTGCACACAGAGAAACTCCAGTTGTTACACCCTTTGGAAGTTAAGTTTTTTTGCAAGCCCCAGGGTGGGGGGGTATCTTTCCTCCCCCCCCCCTTACTCCTGAGAACTTGCGTTGTGAAATACGTTTGCACAGTCGTGTTAAGCGCTTTGATTAGGTTTTAGTCAAAATTGTAATAAATATATGAAGATGCACCCGTTGCAAGTAAAGTGTCCTTTTCCCAGGAGTGAAATAGAAAATGTTTGCTCCTTCCTTTGCTTGGGATTTTGGCGTTCTGAAAACTCACGTTGGACTTCAAAATTCTTTCGCCCATTTGATCAGGATTGTGATTGGTGAGAGCATGGGCATTAGGGAAACAGGGGAACTAGCGGAGCAGAGGCTTAAAATTTGATACAGTTATGACATGTTGCTATTATAGGTCCCATAAAAGGATAATTATTGCAGAACTTTTCCCACACAGAGCTTCTCGCAGCTGCTTTAAAGAATTAAATGGCTCTTGAAAGAACGTTTCAGGTGTAGGTCTTGTTCAATTTCTCTTTCATTTTGGCCTTAAATTGAAGTTTGGCTGGAGGTGATGAAGCAAGAGAATAGGATAATCCAGTTCATCCAGATTTGTTACCTTCATGGTGTCCTAGTTAAGCAAAAACTGTTACCCTAACTATAACACTTGTTGGTAATCCTTTGTGAATTTTGAGGACTTTGGGTTCCAAACAGAAGTTGGTGGACGGATGCTTTAACCAGGCAACCAGAATAGGAATGATCACCTCAGTTGGAATCCCTAGATTAAGTCGTTTCTGGATTTAAGCGGTTGATTCTGTGGAAACCTATTTGTGAGGCCTAGAAAGTTTTGTTTCCTTGTGGATATCTACAG